TGCGGAGGGCCGCCGGCGTGCTGATGTTTGCGTCGCTCACGAGCCAGTCGGAGAACTGGAAGAGATGCGAGATGGCGTGGCGTTTGCGCGGGAAGCCGAGTGCCTCAGGCGTCTGGATGCTATTGATGCGAGCTGCCCACAGAGCGCGCTCGAACGGAAGCTGGCTGCTCGCGTTTCGCGCCACCTCCACGAAGGTGCGGAAAAGCGCGTCCTGCCCGTTGTAGATGGCTGCTCTTCCAATGTACCTGTTGCCGCCCTCTGCCTTGCAGCGCACGCCGCACGGGTGGCGGGGATCGCTCCCCTTGACCCAGACGCGCTCGCCGAGTGGAGGCACAAGGGCGACCATGTACTCAAGCCAGATCGGCGTGAGCGGCTCCGTGTCCGCCTCCACGAGGAACCAGTAGTTGTAGAGCCGCAGCCCCGACAGCCGCAGCATCATCCGATAGTAGAGGCCGCTGCCGGAGGAGGCGGCGGCGGCGGCGGCGGCGGCGGCGGCGGGCGTCTCGCTTATGATCAGCCTACGAAAGCACACCACCGCGCGGCCAGGGGGGGGGGGTCGAGCAGGTGCGTCGAGGGATAATGGTGCCGTGTCGGGGCTCAGGAGGCGACAGGGTGACCTCGGGTGACCTCGGGTGATCTCGGGTGGTCTCAGGTGATCTCTGGTGATCTTGGGTGGTCTCGGGTGATCTCGGGGGATCTCGGGTGGTCTCGGGTGACCTCGGGTGACCTCGGGTGATCTCGTGTGGTCTCGGGGCGTGCGGAATGCGCGCGGCTCTCTGGGCGCGCGGCCGCCGTGATCGCGACACAGAGGACGTCGACAGCGAGGCGAGGCGCGTGGCACGGGGGCGCGAGCCTACCACCCGGTAAGGTGAGGTGAGGCTCCACTTCTCCGCGAGGTGGCGGGGGAGGCGCCAGGCTAGCCCTCGCGACTCTACGTCTGAGAGACAGGAGCCGCAGTGCGGCACACTGAAAGTGCAAGGCGCAGTGCGCGTGGGTGCGCGCGCGCGCGGTCGCGGTGAGGCGCGCGCGTGTGTGCTATGGGGAGATCTGGGGAGTTTGCACCCCGGGAGATATGGGGAGATCTGCACCCCGGGAGATATGGGGAGATCTGCATCCCGCATCTATGGACACGAGCAGAAGTGGCCGTAGCCGCAGCAGCACCTGCGCGTCGACGGCGGCTAGGGCTTAAGGAAGTGTCTAGGAAGTGTCTCTAGGAAGTGTCTCTAGGAAGTGTCTAGGAAGTGTCTAGGAAGTGTCTAGGAAGTGTCCAGGGCGGCTAGGGCTTCGCCACACCACCAAAGGTCCCTGCCATGCACTACGGCTGCCAAGACGCTGCCGCAGAGCGGGGACCCACGACCCCTCCCCCCCCCCCTCCCCCCCTCTCTCCCGGCGACTGCCCGTTCTCCGTTCCTCTGTACCTGCGCGACGCCGCCCCAGAAGAAGGCGACGCGCACCAGCAGGAACGTCAGCGCAAACGCGATGTTTGTGCAGAAGAGCGCCTGAAGAGAACGTGCAGAGACGGTGCAGAGAAAGTGCAGAGACGGTGCAGAGAATGTGTAGAGAATGTGCAGAGACGGTGCAGAGAAAGTGCAGAGAATGTGCAGAGAACGTGCAGAGAATGTGCAGAGAAAGTGCAGAGAATGTGCAGGAGAAAGTGCTGTGAGTGTTCGCAGAAGGGTTGTTCTAGCAGAAAGCTGCCTCCCGGCTACCTCTCGGCTGCCTCCCGGCTACCTCTCGGCTGCCTCTCGGCTGCCTCTCGGCTGCCTCTCAGCGGCATCTCGGCTGCCTCTCGGCTGCCTCTCGGCTGCCTCTCGGCTGCCTCTCGGCTGCCTCTCGGCTGCCTCTCGGCTGCCTCTCGGCTGCATCTCGACTACATCTCGCCCGCGACTCTCCGAGCCCGTGCTGCAGCAGGAACCAACGCAAGTTGAGGGGGAGAGTGGACAGCTCGCCTGGTGGGGAGGGTTAATT